ATCCAAGTTGCTGCAAAAGACATGTGTTTCTCTTTTTTGGTTGCTGAGTAATATTCCATTGTATATATGTACCACATCTTTCTAATCCAGTCATCTAAGTAGTAAATTTTTTAAGCTTTGTGGACCATTTAGTCTCTCTTTTAAAATACTCAGTTCTGCTATTTTAGTATAAAAGCAACCTCTTATGTAACTATAAAGAAGAATGAGTGTGGCTGTACTCTAGTAAGTTTTTATTTACAAGAATAGGTAATTGTTGGCATCATCTATGAATGACAGTTTGCTGCCCCTATGCTAGATTATGAGGGATTCCATCTTACTTCTCCATACTGCTAATAGCCTATATACTTCCTATAACTTTGAATACATATTTTTTGGATTAATATTGAAGAATAAAGGTTTTATTTGTCTAAAATGCATTTTCTAAATTTCTACCCCCTGTTTTATCTTTTCTAACCATTCTTTTAATCCTAGAATTTGACAAGTTTTGTTTTCTATCAAAATACATACCTTAAAATCAGAACTATGCTGGAAACAAGCCAAATGAATTAATTTATGTATAAACTCTATTACAGTCACACACTGGAATACTACTCAGCAATAAAAAGGAATGAACTGTTTGTATATGTGACAATATGGATACATCTCAACCACATAATACTGAATGAAGAAAGTCAGATATAGGATGACACACTATAATTTCACTGTATGGCATTCTAGAAAAGGCAAAATTTTAGAAACATTAAGTAAATTGGTTGTTGAAAAGAGCCAAGTAGGAGGGGATTGACTACAAAGAGATAAATCAGAACTTTGTAGACTGCTAGATTTATTTTATATATCTTGCATGTGGTGGTGGTTGTATGGTACAAATTATACTTTGTATAAATTGTATGCATCTGTCAAAACTCATCAAATTGTATACTAAATATTGAATCCTGTTGTATATAAATTATAACTCAGTAAAGTTTAAAAGATACACTTTTAAAGTCTGTATTCTCACTGCAGGATTATCATACCCTAAGCTTTAGGGGAAATGGGTATTTGTTTTTTTAACTATGAAAATACAAAATGAAAATTAATGAGGTTTTGATTTTTTTAATTACAGAGACACAAATAAGTTCCCCTGAAACTTTTGACCTTGAAAGAGAAGTCTCTCCAGGTAACAGAGAGACTCCAAAGGAACTAAGAATAAAAATGGCAGATAAGGAGGTGAATATTCTCTGTGATTTCTCTGAGTGTTTTCTTTCTGTTGGTAGTCCTCCCTGTGATGTAACATTGCAAGATTTAGGTGACTGAGGATTGTAGCTTTTGGGACCCTGGAGACTATTGTGGTTAAGGTCAGTTTAGCAATATTTCTAAAAATAGTAGCTATCAATTCTTAAGTATTTTTTTTTTTGTTAAGTTCTGTGGTATTTTTTTTTTTTAAAAGATTTATTTATTTATTCATACAGAACTGGGGTACAGGCCAGAGATGGGGAGGGTGAGAGGATTCACCATGAACAGAGTGGGGAGCAGAACAGGCAGATCAGCGAAGTACACTGCCGAGGGGAGCAGGGGGCGGGTCAGGAGAGGTCTGCCACGCCATGTGGTCACCGGGGCAGGCGGGGATCGAACTCGTGCAGAAGTGGCTTTAGTTTCTCAGTGCAGTGCATTAACCCGCTGCGCCACCAGGGAGGGCCTCTGTGGTATGTTTTATCTCTATTATATAGATGGGGATATGGATAGAGGCTTAGGATATATAAGTAATTTGCTTAAACTCAAACTTCTAATGTTGCTAAAGCTAGATTTTGAACAGATTTGTCTCCAAATTGTGGGATATTTTCCATTATAAATGAAAAGTAATACAGATGAACAATCTTGGAAAAAGCACCTACATTTACATTACAACTTTCACATCTAATTTCTAGATGTGATCTGAAACACAAAGTCAGGATAGCCAGCATGATAAAATTAGCCAATCTCTATTTGCATTATTACTTTTTATAACTTTGCATATCTGGTCAACCGTAATGCTGATTGACACAGCTTTTTATTTTTGATTAAGATTCATATTGAGTCTAACAAAACCAAGTTACCAAGAATTATAAAGAATTTACAGTCTTGTAAAGAGCCTCTTCAGAATAATTTTTCTGTGGAAATAGATATTTTGGTTACATTTGTATATACTCCCCTAAACACTTTAAACAGCTTTATTCTCTTATCCCTTATTTATACTCTAGATATAAAATTGAAAAGTTTTTACAGTAAAGATTAGATCCTTTGCCTAGTCTCTGCACTGTAGGTAATTGGATAGAAATTCTGCTTTCATGAATCATACACACTGCTTGGTTCTCCTGAACCTGCTCTGTCACTACTGGCAGTCTTGATGGCAGTAGCAGTGGGCAAGATCCTGTCCTTCCTTGCAGATCAACTGAGGACAGATTCTACCAGATAATGCCAAAATGGCCTCAGGCCCTTTTCCCAGAAAGGAACTAGAACCTTCTAAATGAGGATAAGATATCAGAGTGTTGTTAATGTCATTATCTCAACATATAGAAGAAGCCCTTAAAATTTTTAACTAAGTCTATTTTTTGTCTGTCCAAGACTACAAAGGAGACTGTTCTTTGTTTGGTTTAAAGATTATAAACCCTATTTAGATTTTTAGTATATGTCTGCACCAGTACACATCAAATGAATGGAATTTTTTTTTTTTTAAAAGATTTATTTATTTGTGCATACAGAACTGGGGTACAGGCCAGAGGTACAGGGGGGTGAGAGGACTTACCAGAGACAGAGTGGGGAGCAGAGCAGGGAGATCTACTGAAATGCATTGTTGAGGGGAGCTGCCACACCATGTGGTTCATTCCCTGGTCAGGGATCCAACTGGTGCTGCAGTGACTGTGGAGAGCCTCAGAGTGCTGCTCTTTGACCCATTGCGCCACCAGGGAGGGCCAAATGAATGGAATTTTATCTTATTGAATGACCTTTTTAGTGTTGCTGTTTGTTAATATTTGTGGATGTTTCTAAAAATTTTAGAAAAAAATCATTAGAGGTTAGAGATTAGTATTAGTTGTTAAGTCATTGAGAAATTACTTATTAGTTACAAGCATTTACTAGAAAGATAGAATCTGAACATTTTATGTGTACAAAGATAATGTTATCATATGTGGAGTCTTGCCCTTAGAGTCTGCATATAGAGTCATTTGCCCTAAAATTTCTTTTTCATTGGAAGTTGTTATAGTATAATGCAAGGAACTTCAGCATTAGAAATAAAAGACATGACTTTGAATGCCAGTCCTATCTCCTAGCTGTCACCTTTGGCAAATTATTTAATTATTCCTTCATTTATTTGTAATTTGGCAGACATTTATAGTTAGTAGTATGTGCTAGTCATTGTTTTAGACTCCTGACATATGAAGATAAATAAGAAAAAAATAATCTGTGCCCTCAAAAGGCTTGGTAAGGGAGGAGACATACTCATAAAAAGATCATTAAAATGACTCACAAATGTAATGATAGAGGCCAGAGCATTAGGGGAACATAGAAAAGGAGAGGAGTGCTTTTCTAAATTTCAGTTCTCCATATATAAAATGGAGACAGAAATAACCAATTTTATTAATCAGGCTAGTATTTTACAGACTGCTCTGAAGCTTAAATTTGATAAAGAAGATGAAATAGCAGAAATGTGGCACAAGGAGAAGTTTGCATGTGGAAACTTCACTACTTATTATTTCACTACTTTGTAATGTGTTGTAGCTGTTCAGTGATACTAGTTTACTATTGACAGAGGATTACTAGACAGTATTTGAGGTATTTGGGATACCTGTGGTTCAGCTGTAATACCTCTTGATTTCATTTCCTATAGTGGTGAGGTTCCTTTGGAAACAAGATTTTCTGAATATTTTGCTTGGGAGTTTCCCTTAGTTGGTGCATCAGATATTTTGTTCTCAAAAGAGTTCTTAATAAGTTATTCAGATTCAAATAGTTTTTTAAGTAACTGTTGTCATATAGTAAGGGGTGTAATAGCTAAACAAAAGCTTTTTAAGCTATACATAAACTGGGTGGTGGTGGTGGGGAGTATTGGTGATCTGTGTTGGACACACTTTTATTTTCACTAGGTTCATTTCTTGAGGCAAGGTTTCTTTTGAGGCCAGAAGATAAGGACCAGCCAACTCAGTCAAAATTGGGTGTCTTCAGTACTTGTTTTGTGAAGTAGCTGTATAGTATTTAAAAAGTAGATAAAGCTCTGCAGAGATGAAATTTCTGAACATCATCTTAGTAAAAACTGCTTATATATTTTCTTTTTGAGGCTCCTCCATTATGCTGGGAGAAAAGATCTTACTTTAATATAAAAATTTTCAGAAACCTGGTTGCCTACGAATGTGATTAGAATTTTACAATGAGACAATCACAGATTGTTTTCTCTTAAGTACATTAATAATTGAGTTCTCAGTGTTTTATGGAGATGGTGATGAACACAAAGAAGTATAGTCTTGGGTGGAACACCAGTCACATTCACGTCATACAACTTTTCTGTGTTTAGTGAGCTTTAGAATGCTAATTAACTGCCCATTATCATAATCTTTCAATAACTCAAGTACTTGCAAATTTTAGGGTATTTGGATTGTTCCTCCATATGCTCAAGTAGCCATTTATGTACAAGATAATTTTTTTCTTGTAAGATTTGTGAATAGAGGAACTTGAATTTGTGAGAAGTTTAAGTGACTAACCTTGGGGTAAATGACACTAGAACTTCTAAACCTATTTGATTCTTCCTCATGCTCTAGAAAATAATAGAACCAGATAGTCTACCAATGTCTAACAGGGTAGGCTTCCAAAAACAAAGTGGAGATGATACTTTTGGCTTTAAATGAAAATAATGAAGCTTTTTATGCTAGCTAGGCCTGTGTTTGAGTCTGGATTATCCATTTACTAACTTTGTGATCAACAGGTTACTTTGTCTTTTCAAGTCTTCTATAAAACTTTGTAAAACTGGAGCTAATGAGCCAGTTGGGTTGTGTGAGGGATGGACATGGAAAATGTTTTGCTAGAAACTCAGCCACTGTTATTCCCTTTTGTTTTTTTCCCTTTTAGCATATATCTTTTTTTTTTTTTAAGATTTATTTATTTGTGCATACAGAATTTTGGTGTACAGGCCAGAGGCTCAGGGGCGGTGAGAGGCTTCACCAGAGACAGAGTGGGGAGCAGAACAGGCAGATCAACGAGTACACTGCTGAGGGGAGCAGTGGGTGGGTCAGGAGAGGTCTGCCACATCATGTGGTCACCTCCGGGGCAGGCGGGAATCGAACTCATGCAGAAGTGGCTTCAGCTTCTCAGTGCAGTGCTTTAACCTGCTGCACCACCAGGGAGGGCGTTAGCATATATCTTTTTAAGTAAAAGGCAGGTGTGTTGAAAATGACATTTTCTGGCAGAAAATGTCTGACTGTTTGACTTAATGGCCTATTTTTCTTTTTACTGGGTCTCAGTACAAGCAGTGGATACTAGGGATGGCCTAAACCTTAAAGGCCAAAGAATCCCAGCTAGGTCAGAGCTCACAGTATATACCCATTACATTTGTGGTCCTGTTTTGTTCTTATACCAGAAAAGGATTTATTTTTATTTTTTTACCTTGTAGTAAGAAGCAATGACAGTCCAAATGCTCCTTTCTACTTAAATGGAAGCAGTAGCCATACAGGACAGTTTTATATAGATGGGCTAGGACATGCTGTTCTTTGAAGCAAGTGTTAGTCAGTAGTGCTGCAGTGCTCATACACACTGTTGAATTAATTACTGCAGATTTCTTGGCTCTGTCCTATAAAGGTAAAATAAAACTGCCTGTGAGAGATACCAGTAACTATGGAAGAAATGATGACTATAAAACACTGAGGCCTGAGAGAGATAAGGTATAAGAATGGCCTCGACAGAGCTGTCTTAATGGCTTTTTTTGGATCTTCTTAAGTAGTTGGGCCTTAGTTGTATTTCCTCTTAATATAAAAGTCACAGTACATAAGAGGTGGTATCGTACTGGTCTAAGCTGAGGTGTAGGTTCTTCACTTAAATGTCAGTTGTGCTGCTTTTGCTTAAAACTCTTTTGTCTTCTACCTTCTTATGTCTGAAGTCAGTTCCAGTGTTCACTGTTCTTTTGTGAGGCCGAGAAAATGTCCTTAAGGTGCAGTTTGACACATAACAAACACAACATACTGACCCACTGAGGACTGTGCCTTGCAGTGGAATAGAGAGGAATGCCCTCAGGTTTGGGAAGCAAGTAGTACTTGATTGTTCTGTCACTTTGGGCAAGTTGCTTTACTGTTTTGAACAGTGCTTTTCTAATGTATAAAAAGGGAATGTTAATTTCTTTTTAAGATTACTATATGGATTTAATGAGTAATAGTACAGAGTGGTTGGCACATACTAGTGTAGGTGTTGAATAAATGTTAACTAGTGTATCCCTCAATCCTAGTACTGAATTTGGAAAACTGGTTGGTATCATCTCTTTGAAAGTAAATGAAATATTGAATGGTATCTCTTGTGGTTCTTTGGGGGAAAGGTATTTTATAAGGCTGTTAAAATTGTTGATTGTCATGTTCTTCAGGTTGGTAACAGGGAAGGTACTAAGAAGAAAATGCCTGCTTCTACCTTTTCATCCAGTGTCCAGGTATCCTGCCCACTGTGTGACCAAGGTTTCCCACCCACTAAGATTGAGCAGCATGCCATGTACTGCAATGGGCTGATGGGACAAGAAATAGGTAAAGACTCATTGGAACAGTCCAACTCTTTTTTTGTATGTGTTGGCTTTATAATCCTGTGTGAGAAAAACAGCTCTTGTTGTGTTTGTGTGTGTGTTTCATTTTGTTTTCTATTAAATTTCTAGTGTTTTTGAAGTTCTAAAACACTGTTGTTGCACTTAGAGGAAAGGGAAAAGGAAAAAAAAAACTTTCATCTTTCAATGTTCCAACTTATTTGCTATTGGTAGGCCAGAAATCAGTGTGCATTTAAACTTTTATGTATTCAAAATATATTGAAGTAACTATAAAACTCAGGGAACTAATTTCTAGAGTTGCTCATTTTTCATTCAAAATAACTCCCTTGTGAGTTTTCATTTTGTGTGTGTGTGTGTGTGTGTGTATGTATGTAAATAATACTGAAATATAGCAGCTAAAAATGTCCATAATATCCAATCATGTCCTATGTGTCTCTGCTGCATCATCTTGGAGTTGTGGTTTTTCTCTCAGAGTGCACCAAAAACTTTAGTTTTTATGCATTGTAAGGTAAAGGCCAAGAGAACCTGCTTGTTCAATCCAACACTTGAAATACCCTGATAACACCTTTTTCTCCATGACTTCAGATTTTCAATATAATACAGGCACAGCTTTCGGTGTTCAACATGCTACATGTAAGCAAACCTTAGACAGTTGGAAGTGTCATATTTCTCAGGGCAACTTGATTTTCATTATAACTTTATAAAGATATTTAATCTGAAATTGCATAATTGTATTTTATATAAGTTAAGAATTCCAGGAAAGAAAGGCATGTTATTTAATTTTCTTATGGTAATATATTTATTTATTAAATAAGGAGGTATGTTATGTAACCTAAACTTAACATTTAAAGAAATGTGATTTTTTTCTTACAAAGAAATATGTGTTCATTATAATGGCTTAGTTTATTGAATACTTTAATCAACATTATTTACATTAATGGGATAAACTATATATTCATTATTCTGCAAATTGCCTTTTTAAATTTGACATTAAACTTAGATCTTCTCATGTACATTATACTTTTTACCTAGTTGGGGAAACTGTACTTAAACTTTTGTTTTTCAACTTAAAGGCATAATTTTTTGTAAGTTACATGTAAGACAGTTTTTAGTGCCTCTATAATATTTGATAATATGGTTCATCTGTATTTACTTAACTGTTGTCTACTAGAGTGCTTTAAGTTGTTATGTTATATTTATATGGTAATGAGCCTTTTGTACGTTGTTGCCATATTTTGGAGTAATTTCTTAAGGATATTGTTCTAGTTTGGGTGGTAGTAAAAGTGGATGGGCAGGCCCTTCCTGGTGGCACAAGAGGCTAGGATGCAACATTTCAAGCTGGCTGCAGCTGCTTCAGTGCCAGTTCGATCCCCAGCCCCGGAGGTGATCTGCATGGCGTTGCAGACCTCTCCTGACCAGCCTGCTGCTCCCTTCAGTAGTGTACCTTGTTGATCTGCCTGTTATGCTCCTCTCTCTGTCTCTGGCGAATCCTCTCACCACCTCTGCATCTCTGGCTTGTACCCCAATTCAGTATGCATAAATAAATAAAAATTAAAAAAAATGGATGGGCTCTGGAGTCCAGTCATTCTGAGGTTGAGTCTCACCTTTGTCACTTACTGCATGTGATCTTGGGCTAGTTTATAAGCCTTCCTTCATTCATCTATCAAATAATGGTAATGACCTTACTCAGTTTTTGTGAAGTTAAATAAGATTTTAAGGAAAGTGTTTAGCACAGTGCCTAGCACATAGTAAGTACTTATGAACTCTTAGCTCCTGTTATTACAATAATTAGTTGAATGACTTAAAGATTTTGTCATCATTTTTTAATTTATTTGCTTAATTTTATTTTTATGTATTTTACATCATTCTACCTTTTTGTACAAGATGTACTTTCTCTTCTCAGATTTTCCTGTATAATTCCCATCACCACTTCACCCATGCACCATCACCATGGTTGATTGTATTCTTTCCTCTCCTCCCTTGCATAGTGTCTCTGATTTATAGTTGCCTGTTAATGTTGTTTTTGAATCTATTATAATTATTTCCCCCCGATCCCTTATTTGGTTCCCCTACATTCTTCTGTAAGTAAAGCCATCCAGTATTTTACTTTGTGGCTTATTTAACTGAGTATAATTCCTTCTAGCTCCATCCATGTTGCTGTGAATGGCATGAGTTTATCTTTTTTGATTGCTGAATAGTATTTCATTGTGTATATATACCACATCTTAATCTAGTCATCTATTTTAGGGCATTTGCGTTGTTTTCATATCTTACTTATAGAAAATAGTACTGCAGTAAACATAGGGGTGCAGGTTTTTTTTTTTTTTAATTAATGTTTTTGTGTCCTTTGGGTATATCCCTAGGTAAAGAGTTGTGGGTCATATGTTAGCTCCATATTTGGTAGTTGAGGCACCTCCACACAACTTTCCATAGTGGTTGGACCATTTTGCATTCGCACCAGCAGTGTAAGAGATTTCCTTTTTTACTATATCCTCACCAACATTTGTTGTTTCCTATTTTGTTTTTAATACGATCCATTCTCACTGGTGTTAAGGTGGTATCTCATTGTGGTTTCAATTTAAATTTCCCGTATTACAAGTGATGTTGAACATTTTTTAATATATCTGTTGCTGTTTGCATTTCCTCTTTAAAGAAGTATCTTTTTAGCTCCTCTGCCCATTTCTTGACTGGATTGTTTATTTTGTTTTTGTTGAGTTGTGTAAGTTCTTTTAACATCTTTGTCATCAGTCCCTTATTGATTGTGTGGAGTGTAAAATTTTTCTCCTAATCAGTAGGGTGTCTATTTGGTTAATTTTTGCTGTACAGGAGTTTTTTAATTTGAGATAGTCCCAGCTGTTCATCTTTCCTTCACTTTCTTTGATTTGGGGGACATGTTTTTAAATATATTATTGAGATGTATATCATATAGTGTTTTGCCTATATTATCTTCTACATATTTTATAGTTTCAGGTCTTATGTCTAATTCTTTTGTCCATTTTGAGTTGGTTTATGGCATGGTAATATAGTAGTCCATCTCCATTCTTTTACATGTAGCAGTCCAGTTTTCCTAGCATTGCTTGTTGAATAAACTGTCCTTGTTTCATTGTGTATTCTTTGCTTCTTTGTCAAAGATTAGTTGTCCGTAAATATGTAGGGTTATTTCTGAGTTTTTTTTTTTTTC